TTATGTTATGTATTTGACTTAAAATTTTATTGTTAACTTAACAAATTTACATATTTGAGTGAATGGTTGATTTTAAAAAATAATTTCTACGTATTTATATTATAGCCCAGCATAACAACAATTCCTGGCTCCGCCCTTGAGTCCAAGTGAGGTCGCTGCCAGTATCGAATATGAGCGTAAATTCCTTTTTTGGTGTGCCAAGTCCCACAGTAACAACATAATCACCAGAACCGATGGATGCACCAGACTGGACCGGCAATGTAGCCTGCTTCTCTTGGAAAACACCATGACTTGAGATCCTAGCATGAATTGAGTCCACTCGGTGTCGGTCTCGAAGGAGGATTTCCATGTTAGAAGGAGCATTTGCTGTTTTTTCTTGATTTAATACCTGAATGCATGGGCCACTCCTGTGCACTACTTCCAGGGATAAACTGTTGGAAACTGAAATGCATGCACCTTGAATTAGTGTGATTATATAAAAATCAAAAAATTAAAATATTTGCAACTAAACCAATATATATATATAATCAACATAAATCAAGATATGATTGTTAAAATGGAGATTAAACCTTTAAAAGTTTGGTTGCAAGCTGTTGATGGCAGAAGAGATTTGACATTAATAATATGTAGATAGCCTTTCGTAATCTCATCTTCTTCAACAGCATACCCCTTATTCAAAGAGCACAAAACAAGAAAAGCATTGACAAAAAATGTAAGAGAGATGGAAGAAATGGGGGTCACCATTGGAAACAAGTAGTTCTTCTCTTAATTGTGTAAGTCTCCATAACTTATAAGCTCATAGGGGCCTTATGTACTATAAACCATAAGCTATGGATGATGAACAATATAAAGATCATGAACAGTGAGCTAATCAAATCAACTGCAGATGATCGACTAAAGCAATGGAAGTCTTGTCTCCATTATCAGCAATAGACCGTGTTTTTTCTTCGGCCACCACTTTAGCTCCATCGTGGGCGACAAGTCTACGCCCATGATAGCTTTTCTAGTTTCATTATATATCCACCTTAAATAATATTTACTAAACCTTACCACCACCGAAGTATATATATTTATATACAACCTTCTCGAGTGTTGCTATGACTAAACAAACAGATTTTAACTAGCTAATGTCTAAGCTCTGGTATCCAATAAAATGGAAGCTTCACTCATGTTTGAAATTGTGGGTTCGAAATAAATAGAATAATATTGAGTGAAATGATAGTTTAAAGCTACACATCATGAACAAATGAAAAAGGTAAATATATAATCTAATAAATTTTAGAGAAAGAAAAATTAATACATTTATATATTAAACCTAGTGTGACAAGCGCGCCACTAGCATCCCATTTTATGAATGTACTAGATGGAGGGAGTCCTTACTTTTTATTCATTACTTGATCTTTTTTGTTGTAATCTGAATTCTTACTTTTATTTTTTATATATTTTGATAAAAAAATATTCAAAAAATATGTTGATAGGATCCTTTACATGGAAGTTATTGGGAAATCCGATCAATAATGTTCTGATATTTGCTCATTGGAGGCCAAACACACTGACAAAATATTTAACGTGGTTCGACAAACCGCATACATTCACGGGAGAAGCCATTACATTATGTAGGGAGAGAACAAGATTTACGACAACAAAAGAGGAGGAATCATCCATTCTTTTTGACAACTCTCAACCTCACTCTTTTCTCTCTTTGTAATGCTGCAATGGCAGCTACTGCTTGCTGCCCTTGGCAGCATACTCTCTCACA